GGGAGGAAAACCCATGGTGGGGGAAACATCAGAACTGACCTAAGAACACCCAGGTCCAGAAAAGTTTCTGGGTTCCCGCAGGCTCTAGCCTCCAGCTACACACATGAGTGCTGTTCTCACCTGCCACTCATTACCCTTAGGGTACTATGGCACACAGCTCCAACCTCAGACCTACAGAAGCCTGGGAGTCACTGGATCAGCCCCCAGACACTGCTCCAAGGTGCAACCAGTTATCTGTAGCTAAACTGACAAAACCGTGAAACTTCCTGGTTCTTTAAGAGGGCTATGCCAAGCAAATACAGCAAAAGACCAGTAACAGAAGCTCCATAAATTCAGAGTAAGAAACCCGGCAGCACCAGCACGGCTGCTGTCTCCAGGACTTCTCCTGGTGAGAGAAGAGCAGTTACCACACAGTTCCATATATCTGAGGAGCAAGGCCCTTTGGTTAACCATGCCCAAAAAGCTGAGGAAGTCTCCTTAAGAACACTGCCAAGGGGATTCTCCCCACCCCTGCATTCTAGTAGACACCAGAAATTAACAACCAACACCTGAGACAGCCAGATGGGTAGAGGCCAGCATAAAAACACAACCAACAAAAACAAAGTAATATAGCATCCACAAAACCCAGTAATCTAGGGACAAGTAGCCCTGGACACCCTAACATGAATAAAATTCAAGAAGATGACCTTATATCTATGCTTATGAAGAGGTTAATGGTGGAAACAAATAACATGCATAAGGAAATAGAAGAAAATAAAGTAAAACAGATTGGGGCCATCCGTAAGAAACTCAGGAAGATGCAGCAAAACAGTTTGTGGCTTTCAGAGAGGAAATGATTAAATTAATTAAAGAAATTAAAAAAAAAAAAACAGAGGAAATCTCAAACAAACAGATGATGGAATTGAAGGAAAAACAGGAAAGAACAGTCAGACAGGTGAAGGAAATCAAACAAACAGTTCAAGATCTGAAGAAAGAATTGGAAAAATTAAAGAAAACACAAAAGGAGGGAATCATGGAGAGCAGGAACTTAGGAAAGAAAACAGGACCTACAGAGTTACCATAACCAACAGACTACAAGAGATGGAAGAAAGAAAATAAACTGTGGAAAAAAACAATGGAAAAAACTGATGTATATGTCAGAGAAAAAATAAATCTAAAAAATTCATAACCAAAGCCATCAATGAAATCCAAGAAAACATGAAAAGACAAAACCTAAGAATGGTAGGAATAGAGGAAAAAGAAGATTCCCTCCTCCAAGACCCAGAAAATGTTTGCAAAAAAAATCATAGAAGAAAATTTCCCCAACTTAAAGGAGAGGCCTATAAGCATACAAGAGACCTACAGAACACGTAATAAATTAGATCAGAAAAGAAAAACATCCCCCCCCACAACATAACCAAAACAATAAGTATACAGAACAAAGGAAAAATACTCAAATCCGCAAGGGGAAATGGTGAAGTAACATATAATGACAAACCCATCAGAATCACACCTGACTTCTCAACAGAGACTATGAAAGCCAGAAGGGCCTGGATGAATATCATGCAGACCCTAAGAGAACACAGATGTTAGCCCAGGCTACTATACCCAGCAAAATTCTCAGTGATTATAGATGGAGAAAACAAGATATTCAAGGACAAAAACAAATTTCAACAATACCTGCATACAAATCCAGCATTACAGAAGATACTAGAAGAAAAAATACAACCCAAGAAAACTAACTACTTTCAGAAAAACACAGGCAATAAATAACCTCACTACAGCAACACTAAAAGTAGCCGACTACACAAACACACTATGACAGCCAACTTCAAAATCAAAGGACAAAACAGCCACTGGTCACTAATGTCTTCCTATATCAGTAGAATCAATCCTCCAATAAAAACACACAGACTAAAAAAATGGATGCATAAATAAGACCCAACAATCTGTTGCATACATGAAATGCACCTATGTCACAGAGATAGATATTACCTGAGAGGAAAGGGTTGGAAGACGGTTTTCCAGGGAAACAGACCCAAGAAGCAAGCAGGAGTAGCCATTCTAATATCTAATAAAATAGACTTTCAACCAAAATTAATCAAAAGAGATGGAGAAGGACACTTCATACTCATCAAGGGAAAATTCCACCAGGAAGACATCACAATCCTGAACATCTATGCCTCAAATTCAAGGGCACCCACATTTGTAAAAGAAACATTAATAAAACTTAAACCACACATAGATTCCCACACATTGATAGTGGGAGATTTTAAAACTACAATCTTAACAAAGGACAGTTCAACAAAACAGAAATTAAACAAAGAAACAATGACTCTAACAGAGGTTATGCATCAAATGAACCTAACAGACATCTACAGAACCTTTCACTCAAACAGCAAAGAATTTACCTTCTTCTCAGCACCTCATGGAACCTTCGCAAAATAAATCATATAATTTGGCACAAATTAGTTACATCAGTTACAAGAAGATTGAAATAATCCCTTGTATCCTATCTGATCACCGAGGACTAAAGCTGGACCTTAAGTATATAAATCAAGTATACAACAAGTACATTTGCTCAACCATGTTCGTAGCAGCTTTATTTGTAATACCCAGAAACTGGCAACAACCCGGATGCCCCCCAATTGAGGAATGAATATGGAAGTTGAGGTGCATTTACACAATGGAATACTACTCAGCAATTAAAATTGGAAATCATGAAATTTGCAGACAAATGGTGGCACCTAGAAAAGATCATCCTAAGTGAGTTATCTCTGAAGTAGAAAGACACACAGGGTATATACTCACTCATAAGTAGATATTAGGCTTATAATACAGGATAAACATACAAAAATCTATACAGCTAAAGAAGCTAATCAAGAAGGAGGACTCTGGGTAATATGCTCAGTGCTCACTGAGAAAGGCAAAGAGGATGGACACCAGAAGAGGGGGTAAACAGGTAACAGCTCAGGAGCCTACCACAGAGGGCTTCTGAAAGGCTCTAACCTGCAGAGTATCAAAGCTAATGCTGAGACTTGTAGCCAAGTTTTGTGCAGAGTACAGATAGTCTTATGAAAGAAGGGCAGATAGAAAGACCTGGAGGGGACAGGATCTCCAAAAAGAGAGCAACAGAACCAATAAATCTGGAAACAGGTGTCTTTTCTGAGACTGATACTCCAACCATGGACCATTCATGGAGATAACCTAGAACCCCTGAACAGATGTAATCCAAGGCAGCTCATTGTCCAAGTCGGTTCCATAGTAATAGGAACAGGGACTGTCTCTGACATAGACTGATTGGCCTGCTCTTTGATCACCTCCATCTCAGGGGGCTGCAGCCTTATGAGGCCACAGAGGGAGACAAGGCAGTCACTCCTGATGAGACCTGAAAAGTTAGTATCAGATGTAAGGGGAGGAGGACCCCCCCCCATCAGTGGATTTGGGGATGGCCATAGGTAGAGAAAAGGGAATTAAGGTAGGATTGGGAAGGGCAGAGGGAGGGAGCTACAGGTGTGGTACAAAGGGAATAAACTGTAATTAATAAAAATAAAAAAAATAAAATAAAATAAAATAATTTTAAAAAGTATGGCATTAGAGATCACAGGTAGAATCACTTATCAGGGAGTTTAATTGGATGCTGGATAATATTTATAGCAGTCCAACTGGTGTATCTTGATTTCTTAGTTTCTAATAAAGTACTAGTGCTATTTAGCATTCATATATAAAAGGATTGTGGGGACTCCTGAGATGATAACTGAGTAGGTATAAACATTATTGAAGAAAAGGGATGATCCATGGGAAAGCACTATCACTTATTTTTTTAAAAAAAGAAACCCATTTTTTTCTCTGTACAATAAAAATACAATGGGAACTAGATTTTCAAAGGAAGGTATAGTGGGTAGGCTTACCAAATCTCATGTATATGTGTTATACCCTCAAAAGCATATAATTGTGTATGCAAAATGGATAATTACATACAAAAATGTCCATTTGTGTGTGCAATCACCCATTTTATAGACACAAATGCTTGTTTGAAAATCTGGCCCTAGAACTCTTGCTGTAGTTACAAAAAATCAGCTTGCACACATGGTTTCTGAAACAGAAATTATGGCCTGCCTTGACTATATAACTGCTGTAAACTATTTAAGAGCTCTTCTTTTCAGAATTGATTCAGAATGTATTCTCAAGCTATATAACAAGACTGACTGTGACATGAAAGATAGTTTTTGAGATAAACATAGAAACTTTTTATTCAGCTGCCACTGAATATGCTGAAAGAACTTCTAACACTAGCAAGCAATGAGGATGGCTGTGTATTCACTGATTGGTATGAAGAGGCTATCATGCATAGGAGAAAGCTTAATCATATTCAATTACAACTATGTAGCACTATATTTTAAAGATTTTCCCTATTTTACATAGTCTAGAATGCAGCAACAAACAGCTTTTTGTTTGTTGGTCTGATTCAAAGTAGACTGTTTTCTTTTGTTGTGGACTGAGTCCTAGCATTTGTGTGATAGTATTTCTTAAAACCTAAAGAACAGCTCTAACAGAGATGTAAACAGACTGTGGTATGCAGAAGACTGGGAATTGAAAATCAGTATCAAGAAGGACATGTCAGAAATTAGCCTGTAAATTCAGAGCACAATTTTATCCCTTTTTATATTTAACCACTTATTTCAAGACAGTATTTTTTTTGTTAAGGAATTTTCTCTTTCTCTTCCATTTTTCTACTAAATAATTTACTTTTCCTAGTAGTGTCTGGGGTCTCTGAGTGTCTGGGATCATCTCAGGAGTAGTCTCAGGAGTGCTATGCCCCACTCCGTTCATTATGGTGCCAGGCAGGGATCAGGGATCTGCATTGTGCCAGACCTGTGGTCATCTCAGGCAAGCTCCCCATCCGGGGCCCCATGACCCCATTGTGATGACTCTCTTAATCTTGCTCCCCATTCTGGGAGCCAATCCATGCCCGCGTAGCACCAGACTGGTGGTCACCTCAGGCTCACTTTTTTTCAGGGAATGTTAGGCTAACTAATCATTCAGATGTTAATAGGTCAACCACTGAGTGCAGACATAGCCTCTCTCCTCTCTGCAACCTACTGACAAACATATGACACAGCAGCCACACCTGCAGCTAACTCCTTTAGGTGCAGTAGGGTTTGCCAACTTTATTTCCTATGGTTTCCTTTGGCATTCTGTCTTATTTGATTCAAGTCAATCTTGCTATTGTTTATCTAGTTCCATTGAACTATTTTTGTGAGAAACTCTATCCTCCAAGCCTCGTAAATAGTTCTCTTTGCAAAACCTTGCATGATATCCAAAACATAAAGGCATTAGAAAAGTGAAAAGAAGAAAAAGTCTTTTCAAAATGTTTGTTAAATCTTGTATGATCATCATTATGTCACCAAGATCACAGACATTAGAACTAATGTAGCCTGCATTACCATTGATATTTGTCATGAGAGGTGTATCAAATTATAAAGCATATATATAGATGAATTAAGTTTTTGATGTAGTAAAGAAAACTTATGTAGAGGAAGTGGACAGTTGAGTTGACTTAGCCTCATATATAGTAGTGTAAACATTACTTTTCTAAGAAAATATTGTGTCTTTTTTTTTAAATTCTTTCACCATTTAACTTTTAAATCTATCATTTCATTCACTCTTTTACTAATAACTCCTTTGGAAGTTTGATGGGGTGGCAGTGTTGTCATTTTATTAAGAGTAAATTTGGCAACAAGATTCTCACACAAGTGAGGGAATATAGCTTTGTAAAGATGGAACTATAATTCCAAACCACATTTATCATATCAGAGCCAGTTTATTTCTTCTCCTCCATAATATTGCCAACATTTTAATAAAAAAAATATTTATAGAAAAAGAATAGAGCCCAATATTTATTTACCATCTGTTAGAGATACTATAAATCCCTGATGGGCAAAATCACTAAACTGAGAGTAATATTTTTAAATGAATTTGGGTTCAACCTTTTGAGATGCTTTGCTAAAAATATAAAATTTGCCCTTATGTGGTAGCTAGTTTTATTCAACTTGAAATGAGCTAGAATCCTGTCAGGAAAGGGAATCTCAAGGAGAAAATTCACCTACCAATTTAGCCTGTGAGCAAAGACTATAGCCCATCTTCTTGATTGGTAATTGATAAATGAGGGCCCAGCTCATTTTAGGTGGTGCCATTAAAAGGGGAGCCAGTCCTGTGAGCTATAAGAAACAAGGCTGAGTAAGCTACGAGGAGCAAGCCAGTAAGTAGTGTTACTCCATGGCTTCTGTTTCAGGTGCTGTCTCCAGGTTACTGTCACCACTTTATTTGATGATGGATTATTGTGAGAAACTTTAAGGTGAAATAAAGTCTTTCCTCCTCAAGTTGTTGTTGTCATATTGTTTTATCATAGGAATAGAAACCCTAACCAAGACACTTTATTTAACAAAAACTTCTATCAAGTTGAGACAGTCTTAGATTTTCTAAACTCACTTAACTCTCAAGATTTTTTTTTCCAAAGACAAGTAAATATCCAACTTCTTCACAAATACTTTCACATGAAGAAACAAAATGCTTGTTGAAGATATTTCCCCAAAAAATGAATAAAATGGAAAATAAATATATCAAATGTGTCCAATATCCTTAGATTTTAATTAAATGCAAATTAAAGCAAATTTAACATTTCATCATTCACCTTCTGGAATGGCTGAGGTCAAGAAAACAACTGAAAACAAATGCTGGGGAGGATGTGCAGAAAGAAGAACCTTCATTCACTTTAGTTAGGATTATAAATGGAAGCAAACACTGTGGAAAGTAGTGTAGATAATTCTCAAAAGCTAACTATAGTCCTACCACACAACTCAATTATATATTCTTTGGGACTTGTCCAAATTTCTCAATATCTTAGTTTATAGATACTTGTTCAGCTACCTTCATTGGCACTCTGTTTATCTAGGAGATGGATATAAACTCAATGTCCTTCGACTGGTAAACAGAAAGTGAAATTGTGGTACATATACAGAACAGAATACTATTCGGCTGTAAAGAAAATTAAAATCATGAAACGTGGTAAATTGATGGGACTATAAAATACTGTGCTAAATGAGGTATAGGACCCAGAAAGACAAACTCTGACTGCCCTCTTCCATGTATGGTTTCTATCTGTGAACTTTTTAATTAATTAGTTTATTTATTGACTTTACATCCCAATCATAACCCCTCCCACATCTCCTTCCAGTCACACCTTCCTTTCCTCTTTCTCCTATACCCTGTTTCCTACTCCTCAGAAAAAAAGGAGGACCTCCATACACACCTACCCTTCCAGCATATCAAGTGACATCAGGGCTGAGATCACTTTTTCCATCAGTTGCCTGGAAAGTTGGCCTTGCCAGTTGAAAGTGATATAAAAACACATAACAATATCTTTGTCAGAGACAGCCCCAGCTACCTTTACTAGGGGACCCACATGAAGACCAAACTGCACATTAGGTATATTTGTATAGGGGGCCTATGTCCTTGATTGGTGCTTCAGTGTCCAAAAGTCACCCTGGTTAGGTTAGTTGTCTCTTTTGATTCCCTTGTGGAGTTCCTGTGCCTACAGGACCTTCCTCCACTCTTCCACAAGGCTTCCTGCATTCCACCCAATGTTTGGCTGTGAGCATCAACAACTGTTTTGAACTGATACTGGGTGGAGATTCTCAGAGGACAGCTATGCTAGATTCCCGTCTGTGAGCATAGCATTACTAGTGTCAGGGATTGACTCTCTCCCATGGGCTGGGTCGCAGGTTGTGACTGGCATTGGTTGGATGTTTCCACAATATCTCCTCTATCTTTAACCATGTATATCTTGTAGGCAGGGTGTAGGCATAAGGTTATTGTGTAATTCAAATGCTGATTTCTGTTTCTCATGTTTCTGGTTGCAAGCCTTGTTCTGAGAAACTCCTGTTTCAATGTTGTATAAACACTGCTTTCCAATTGTTCCCTGATATGCCAATAAAGCAGCTTAGAGTCCATCTCTGAGCAGGTGAGAGGATGTGGATGGACTTCCTCCCAGCCAAGGGAGAAGTTAGGGGAGGAAGTTGGGAATTCAGCCAGTGGACTGAGCCACCACCAGATGTCTAAGAGGGACCAGGAGAGAAAGAGAGAGCTCAGCAAAGAGTGTGCAAGTATTTCTGGGATGTACACTTGGAGGAAACCAAATTAACCCAGAGGGTTAAGAATAGAGTTAAAACTACTTATTTCTGAGCTGTGGAATGTATTAAAATAATATGAAAGAATCTCAATTATTTGTGTGATAGCCAGGTTAAGAGAGAAACTAAGAAACACAGTTTTACAAAAACTTTAACAGCAGGGTAAATTTTGGGTCAAAGTGTTTTTTGGTGGATTGCTGTTCCCCTCCCTCTGCTAGTAGTCTTGTCTGGTTAGAAGGTGGCCTCTTCAGTATCCATGTCCACCGATACCTGGGGTGTCGGATAGAGTTACCTCCATATTCTTCCAGAAGCCTACCCTGTCATAGGTCTCCAGCTTGTCTCAGAGATGCCCCCACCCATGGTTTCTCTTTCTCTGAAAGTTCTCTGTCCTCCTGCAAGCCCCATATACTAAATGCTCTCCCCACATCTGGTCCTCAGCCTCATTTATCTCAGCATTCCTTCTCTTCTCATATCCTGTTACTTCTCTTCAAACACTTCCTCTTTATATTCTATTTCCCCCTTTTAGTGAGATCCAAGTATCCTGCCTTGAGCCCTCATTGTTACTAAGTTTCTTTGGGTCTGTGAATTGTAGTGTGGTTATCCTGTATTAAAACACTAATGCCCTCTTATAAGTGAGCATTACATACCATGTGTCTCTTTCTGGATCTGGGTTACCTCACTCAGGCTGATCTTTTCTAGTTCCATCCATTTGCCTGAAATAGTCGTGATTTCCTTATTTTGAAAGCTGAGTAGTATTCTATTGTGGAAATGTACCAAAGTGTCTATCCATTCTTCAGTTGAAGGGCAAATAGCTTGTTTTCAGTTTCTGTCTATTATGAATGAAGGTGCTATGAACATAGTTGAGCAAATGTCCTTGTTGTATGGTGGAGCATATTTTGGGTATATGCCCAGGAGTATTACAGTGGAGTCTTAAGGTGTAACTATTTATTTTCTGAGAAAGTGCCAGATTGATTTCCAGAGAGGTTGTACAACTTTGCATTCCCACCAGCAATAGAGGAGTGATTGTTTTTCTCCACATCCTCTCAAGCAAATTGAGGTTTTGATCTTAGCCATTCTTACTGGTTAGTGATTTGCATTTCTCTGATGAGTAAGTATATTGAGCACTTCTCAGCCATTCAAGATTTCTCTGCTGTGAATTCTTGGTTTAGCTATGTACCACATTTTTAATTGTAATATTTGGTTTGTTAATGCTTAAGTTATTAAGTTCTTTCTATATTTTTTATATGACCCTGTGTCTGTTGTAAGGTTGATGAAGATCTTTTCCCAATTTGCATGCTGCCATTTTGCTTCATTGACAGTGTCCTTTGCCTAAAAGAAGATTTTCAGTTTAATGAGGTTCCATTTATTAATTGTTGATCCTTGAGCCTGAGCTGTTGATGTTTAGCCAGAAAGTTGTTTCCTGTGCCAGTGAGTTCAAGGCTGATTTCCACTTTCTCTTCTAAAAGATCTAGTGTTTCTGAGTTTATGTTGAGGTCTTTGATCCACTTGGACTTGGGTTTTGTGCAAGGTAATAAATATGGATCTGTTTGCAATTTTCTACATGTAATCATCCAGTTAGACAAGGACCATTTGTTGAAGTTGCTATAATATTTCCATTGTATGTTTTTGGCTTCTGTCAATAATCAAGTATCCAAAGATATCTAGATTTATTTCTGGGTCTTCAATTTGGTTCCATTGATCCACCAGTCTGTTTTTATGCTTGTACCATGAAGTTTTATTGCTGTTGCTCAGTACTATACCTTGAAATCAGGTATGGATGTACCTCCAGAAGTTCTTTTATTGTACAGGATTGTTTTAGCTATTCTGGTTTTTTTGTTTTTCCTTTTTATTCTTAATGTAGATTTTTATATAAATTTTTTATTTTTATATTAATTAAAGTATATTCAATTTGTATCCCAGCTGTAGTTCCCTCCCTCAGACCCTCCCAATTCCACCCTCCTTCCTTCA